TACATCGCTATTAATTGCCTCGAATAGAGACAGTGAAAAATTGGAATATTGTTTACCTATCAGATAAACAGGATATTTCAGGTAAAAAGGATAAATTGGATAGCAATATGGTGTAATCTATATTTACAAGCAGAGCGCTTTATGCTTGTTCTCCATGAAATAAACTAAAAGGATCTCTTGATACCGGTGTCAAAATCTAGACAACTTTTAATGAAATAAATTTGGTCTTTTTTATTTAAGCACAAAGGGGGGAGTTTGTTAATTAATTGTTCCGTTTCTAGAATAAATATAACTTTTTACGTTGAGCATCAGTAAAACATAAAAATAGAAATATTCTTTGCAGGAAAGTTAATAGCATGCAGACAACCGCCCTTTATTCGACTCGGGGGCAAGGAGCTAAAGTTTTCCAAAGGTTTTAGTCAGCCCCTACCTCGGTAGTCACGCTGTCTCGGCTACCCCAATAATGTCGGTACTTCATAGATTAATCATGAGCTTTTACACTGACTTGGTGAAGTGGATGAGTAAACAAATTTACGGGCTAGCAATCCTGGGGCATATATTTCTATGTGTTGCATACATGCCGCCAAAACCCCTCCATGTCCACACACAATTTTTGCCACGAGTAACTTAGAACACATAAGCAGTTACATTTTTTTTCGATCTATTTACAATTGAAGCCGAGTTGACCCCTTTCCAATGACGTAACGGAGGTCCCCCGACTTTTAGGGACCCCAAGAAAACATCTTTTTAGTATACTTGCATTCATAATATGACAAAAGAGTTCAGAACCCAGAGCCTGCACGATACCTCATTCCAAAAACTAGAGGGCCCTAAACTTAAAAGTCCCTAAAGGCCCCGGCTGCCTCCGTTATGCCACTGCCCTTTCCCCCAAATAATGTTGGAAATAGCCTCAACAATCCTAGTTTCTAAGATACAGATTACGTACAAATAGTGAATGACGAAAAGAATAACCTAACACTGTTTGAAAGGGGAGACGAGTAACAGCTCATGTTATTGACAAAAATGCTGTGGGGTTCCAAGACTTTTTGGCAGATATCGCAGATTCATTTTATTTGTTTCTGTCCGTAGTTTCGTACACTATTCGTCGGCAGTTCTGTAGAGGATAAACATCTTGGGCATTCGTCTCTAGCGTCACCCCTATAAAAATAGACTCCAATCATCCTGAAATTTAGGCCTAGAATTTACCATCTACGATCAAGTCTTGCACGCCATTTAGAACAAGAGTGCATCCTCAAAAAATGATATAATGACACAAGTACAAACTTTACAAAAAACAGGCTGAGCGCTTTTGAAAATCTTTTTCATTTCATTTGCTATTCATTTTCATCTTTGCCAGTAAAAACACTGGTGTTAACACAATTAGGAAAAGGTTTTTACATTAAACTTGGCTGTAAAGAATTATTTAGAGACCAATTTAACTTTGTGGTTTTTATCTTCATTAATGGAGAGGTGAAACAGGAAAACCTGTTTTTCATTCTCTTAGAAGTGGCTTATCACTGGAAACTCTTTCTTTGATCGAACAAAATTCTGACTGTGATCGAAAAGCAGTATCAACTGACCTCGGTTGGTGTACTCGTAAACCACAAGAGAGGCTACGTTCATTGCAAATTGTAAGGCGAAAGTGCATGCCAAGTTAAAGTCTGGATGAAAGATTTTTAGAAAGGTAGGGAAGGATGAGGATTTGCGGTGACATTGGTCAGCCGAGTAAGAAGAACATTGAAGAAGTATTGTGCATTCACCTAATTAGATCGATGTCTTTGCTAAAACCCCAAAAGCAACTGAAGAAACAAAACAGTCCTAAGTATGGGCTGCTTCTTCTTAATAAATTCAAGAAACAAATTAGAAGACACTTCTGACCAACTGAACACTGAATCACTATATTTCGTTTAGAAAGCATTAGTATTCTTCAAGATTGTATAAATTCGTTACAGAGTTCTCGATTCAACCGCAATATACTTGTTTTCAAGAGTTTCTCGTGCTCGAGCCCTGTTTTCTCGAACCCTAAAATCTACAACACAACTCCCATACATTTTGAAACGTATCTTATACAACAATAAATCGATCAAAACTTAGCAATATCGGGAAATTGTAGAATTTATCGATTTTTCTGATGCATCAACTTAATCTTGTAAATGAATTTGAAAGTTTGAAAGCATTGTTAACAATCAGACACCGAGTACCTCGGAATGAGTGATATCAAACTGAGTTTGTCGAGTTACCTTTGGACACTGTCACTAAGACTTTATATTTTACACATTTATTTCAGGTGGCCCTTTGAAACGCCTGCAGGAATAGGCCACAATACCCCAACAGAATACCCATTCTCCCTATAAATCTCTATCTGGACCTCTGAAACATTGAGAGAACAGGTATTCTTAATGAAATAACACACGAAAAATAGAAATATCAAACAATTGGCTAAATATCAGTTTGATTTGAAGATGACGTTAATAAATTTATTTCATTCGAACTCGATTTCTTAAGCACGATCGAAGTCGAAGCAAAATCAAATGAACAGACAGTATATGTTGCATTCATATGGGCAAGCTTAAAAACAGATAGTTCTACAGTACCCCCAGAAATTTGCTTAAACAGCCAGTATATGGTCAAAATTGCTATACTGACTGTAGCATATTTAAATTGATCTATATTTAAAAACCATTGTAATCTGCAATGGAATAGAGAGGCTTGCTTTAAGTACAATTTTAGGCCTTGTATTGTAGAGCAGTTTTAAAGTGCGCCCCCCACTGATGTCTCAAAGGTTCTATAGCAAGGTCCTAAATAACATTTCTGATTCTACAATAGAAGTTGCCAGACAGTATTTTTATGCAACCTTTCTAGATATTTCGACCACGAGTACCCTTACGTTGCATTAATTGAAAATTAGCGCGAATTGGAAGATATCTCCGGAAGGCCTTTACCGACTTGAAATCGAAATTCCGGAATTTTTACCAATTATAACGAGCAAAGGAATTTGATTTTGGTGAAATAAACTGGCCAATGACGATGACGATCCGGATAGAAATGGCCGATTGAATTCTTGTATATTACTCAAGAATAGTTAACAACGTCGTGCTCAATTGATTACTTAAATAGGACAGTGTCTTAAGCACTTAGTCGAGAATTGATTGGACAATATCCTTAAATACCACGTGCTCTGCCGTTCGTTGGATGGTACTTGAATATCAGCATGGTTTGCCGCGTAGCAAACAGCTCAACCCGTGCTCTTAATGAATTGCCATGCTATCCGGAATGAACTTGCTTCAAAGCCATGCTCAATACACAATTTGTTTTCAAGATGATTTTCACATGCACAAGCTGAATCACCTGTTCACATTCATTCCACCTGTTCGAAATTCCTCTACTCAAAACTGCGAGTTCATTGCTTTTCTAATAAATCACAAATTTCCTTGCAATTAAAAATTGATATGGAAGTTTCTTTTCTGTGCCTTCGGAGTCACATTATTAGTATAGAAGTTAATGGGACTAGCCTGCTAATCCATCTTACATTTGTGCGTCTCAAAGCAAAACAAAATATAAGAAAACATTCACATTGTTGACTACTGTTTTGTTAAGAATATGATTTTTTGATAGAAAATTGATATTCGTTCAGCAAAGCAGACGTTTGTTGAGCTTCTTCGAATTCGTGAACAAAACATCTCGGGACAGCTGCGCACAGCCAGAGCCTGTCTTGACCTTGATAACGAATAATTTGCATTTACTGTAATCCTAAATGGTGTAGCTGCAACTGTCCAAACAGAAATAGCATTCCGATGGACTGGTGACCCGAACTTGTGACTTGGCGAGCGCCTAGTCAACAGCAACGCTGCATGGGCGGGCTCTGTGATGACTGTGTACCTAATGCATAATTTCGAATTATTCTGGGGGTGTATCGTAGTAACATGATGGGATGCGCCTTTCTGGAGCCTTATACCCCAGTAGAGAAATACACTGTCATGATACACTCAGATTGACACTAATTATCGACATCAACTCATTTATCCCGTAATGCTTCATTAAATAAAGTGTTCGTGTTTCTGTCGACTTCTAGATCGATTTCCCACTCTAGAAAATGATATAATGAGCGAATCGAATTGGATCCACCTGATATCTTTAATGTTTGTACATACAAAATGTATTATTTGTAAATTTTTGGTTTGTTTGTTTTGTCCACTAACCTGAGAGCAAGTACCTAAGAGTAAAGAGCTGATAACTAAAAAATACAGGCCCTCGCTCCAGTTACTTTAAAGCCTGCTAGTATTGATAACTGTGTTTCAGCAATATGTGAGATGTCTGCTAGCCGGTCATTTTGTTGAATGCAATAAACTCGAGTGTACAAACAATTCTAACTTGTTTTGTCACGTTTAACAATCTAGTGCAATGTATTGTATGTAATTAGTACTGCCATTAAGCACCTTGAAATTTCAGCAGAAAATATTACTGAAACTGATATGGTTCCGCTTATGACATTGTTGCTTAAATCTTAAAGAAAGGTTCGGTTGGGATACCCATGGTACGTAAATGTAAACAAGGGATTTTAGCTCTATGGGCTGGATTTAAAGCGATGTAACATGCCTTGTGTGGATTTTTGTCGACAAAGAATAAAAAGAGAATGCCCATTTTGAGTAATGTTTTCACTAGAATTTTATTGTTTTCCAAAGCAGTTTTTTGAACTGAAGTCGCTCCGATGTGAATATTTCACAGGGGCAAAATGTAAGGCTGAGAAATAGTAAATCGAGACATCTGCAGTAACTTACTGAGTGGCATACTAGAAAAACTCGGTAACCGAAGCTAGTTTGTGTCCCGGTGCTATTCTTAAACTGAATAGGACCTTATCCCTAAAAATCCCCAAAGAATGTTAAACTCTTGCTAAGGTGAGTAAAAAATGCAGGTCGATTTAGATAGATCTGGTCACTATCAAGACAGAATCAGCAACAGAGTGTCCTGATAATGAAAATGAGAAGTTCATAGACACTTACTTCGCGGTTCGCGAGGTCCATCCACGGTAACTTTGATAGCTCTCATATAGGTAGCCACTTGTGGTGGATCTGTGTTGACTGTTATCGTCATAGAAAGGGTTTTACCTATAGCGACAACGAAAAAAATACCTTAAACAGGTGGTGTAGTAAGACAAAATTATTTCAATGGACCAGCGTACAAATAGATGGCCACAAAAGTATACATGGTCCTACCGCAGTCCACAGACCAACCAAAGCAACCTTAATCTACATATGAGATCACTAGTGGCCTCGACGCCATCCAAGTCTGACGATGACATTACATTGTACACACAGAATCATAGCGAATATTTGACAAGACATATATACAAAATATATATACACACACAAGGATTCGCAAGGACAAAGCGAGATGGGATTCCCCAGTCTCACGTTTGGAGATTGGTAATCCGGGTTTCATGAAAACACGAGACCAAGTGAGAAATTACTGTTATTATAAATATTGTTATAGTTGTTGTTTCTGAAGTTGATAACTCACCGCGTCCACTCCGTCCTACAAATCTCAGATCATTGAATCTGGCTACTTGGTTTTTAATTACGGCCGTTGAATTCCGAAGCTCGGCCGAGTAGTTGTCATCATTTCCAGCCAGAATAGTAACCGTAAGTCCGTCAGGAATGTCTCCGCTCAAAGCTATAACTTTAAAAGCTACTGGCAAGGTCTTGTTACATCGCCAATGAGATGGCAAGACGCTACATACGAAATTCGGTGAATCAGTTTTGACAAGTTCGCCTGGATTCTCCGACAAAGCGTCCAGCATTGGTTTATCGGGCTTGTATCTTGCCCGCATTTGGGTTGAGTCGACTTTCGTGGAGGCCATGACTTTGTTAGTATATTCAAACGTAACCGCAGTCTACTACCACAACGAGCTAAGTCTGCAGCCTAAACCGCTCTGTGTGTCGATGACGCGGGCTATACACATTCACGCTCGATTGGCGAACACGAATGTTACTTAGAGCTAATCTACGTATAGTAGTTTGTGACGAGTAAGAATACCGCCCCACAATGCCCTGTGTGACAGCTGCTCACAATACGTTTCATGCACTTTCAACGTAACTGTCAATCAAACCGCTCCGTGCTCCTCCCTTATGCACCGTGTTTAGTTTATCGAACAGACAGCCTTTGATACTGTTATGAATTTGCTTTCGAGACCCACAAGCTCTCTCAGCATCAAGTAACTCGCAACAATATTGATCAATATCCTGCCTTACCGATATTTCGCTTAATTTCAGATCAACTTGTTCCCACACTTAACCAAGCACTCGTTGTTTGCAATTAACTTTAAATTGCCTTCGTTCGCCGGTTTGTTATCGTGAGGCAGCTATCGTGCTAAACCCCCGGTGAATTATCGGATGAATTCCTATACATGCTTATGCATTATACTGATGAACTAAGGTCACACGAATCCGGGGGGCGGGACCTGCTCGTGTTACAGACCCAGTTATTCGAAATTTTCTCTCAGCAATTATCACCAGCTGAATAATAGAACAACCACAAATCCTAAGCCCATAATAGCTATAAATTTATGTTTATCGAACTTGAGGGGAGACCCGCGTCGCATCAAACAATTCATTTGTTAAATTGAGAAGCTCGGCAAACCACATTTGTCAAGTGCGCCAAATTCAACCGTTTGTGTGCACATGCCCAGCAAAAATTTTCCAGCCAAGCGAGTTCAGCCACTAAAATTTGTCTGTTACAGCAGAATTCAGATTGCAGATACAGTTCAATAAGCGTCTGAGAATGGCAAGTATTCCAAACAAACGCTCAAACAATCCGAGCTTGTAACCTCTAGGTCATTAACACAGAGAAATATTACGCGAATTGACAAGAAACGCTCAAACAATCGAATCCTCTATTTTCACAAAAACACTACCGTAATGTCATTTATTTTCGAAAAAATGCTAAACTAATCCCACATATAATGAAATTATCACTTTAAATAACTCAGTGCTCATACTTTCATACCTTTTTCACAAGTTTTAAAAAGTTTGTTAGTATCATTTTATTGTCCTCGATGATCTTAAACAAAGGTTGTTTGATTGGAGAGGAAAACAAGGTTATGCCAGATTTTGAGGAAAATAACTTCAAGCAACAACTCTTCAAATTAAAATTTGATACTGAAATTCAATATCACTTTGGCATCATCATAAGAAGAACCGTTTGCAAGAAAGAAAAAGGTGTCATCGTTTGCCTGTAGCGATTGCAACATTCACTTTGATTGGGAGCCACTGTTGAAAGTTACTCAACATTCAGCAGATGGAACATGACACCTTTTAATATTTTGTGAAAAAATTACAGCCTTTTCTTATAGCCTTACTGCTAGGTTGCTTTATCAGATTGGAGACTATTTTCGTCACCCACCTTAATTTGAAGGCGACTTGGCCGATTCAAGCGGTTAATTTGTCACTCTTCTTCCAAGTTATCTGATTTTAAACTACTTTTACTACATTTACCAAAAACTATACCATGATAAAGCTTCTTTCTATTTTAATCAATTTGATAGGAGACAAAGTCCTGCCGAAGCGAGCTTCATAGCCCGCAAGAGCGTATAGCCCTACAATTGCTCCAGGCCTGGCTTGGAAAGAGACAGTGAGCCAACCCCCAAACAAGGCTTATGACATCAGGTTTACGAGCGAATTAAAAGGATTTCAGCCCGAGGGTCAAGTTTCGAGCCGATCTCATTCTCTAAATAATGTATATAATTATGATGGATAAACAAGAAAAGAATAAACATTTGAATAATTTTTTAAACAGAATAGGATTGTTCACGTTATTTACATTATGCATTTCATTGGATATACTATATACCTACTTTTTTAAGTATCCAAAAAAGTGTTTCGTTTTCAAAGCCAAGAATCCCATAGCAAATTTCCGCTGCAGATGGGGATGATTCAATGCTTGAGTGGGAAAACCTGTGGATGTGAAATCGCGAAATGAAGTTTTCAACTCTTATGGGCCCAAGAAGTGGCTCAAAAATTAGGATCGTCAAAATATGGTACTTCACCACATTTCTGATCGCTGAAAAGAAGAACCATATTTAAAATTTCCTGGGTTAGAAAATCAAGTATTTTAGCATAAATAAATTTGGTTTAAAATTATGTAAATATAATTTGGCAAATTATCTAAATTCTACTGACTTCAACTGACTTCGGAGCCTTTTGAGGCATTAGATAACTATCCTCATTTTCAACAAAGATTTTTGCAGAAGACATTGCATTAGTTATCTTTAAGGTTTTATCACACTTGAAATATTGCCTAAAAATGAAACCTCGATCAAACCCCATAAACGGTCCCTTGTAAGCACAATCAACTTTTCCCGACATCCCTTCCATTGGGAAAAGACACGTGAAAGCGAGCCCCAGCCTAAAGACGACACTTAATGATGGACAAATTTAAACAATGGCCAATAAATTTCGACCCAACAATTTTTCCTACGGTAAAAGAAATAAACGAAACGAAGTGAACCTCAGCCAATGGACAGCGTTAAGGCTTAGCCGATGTATTTGCTTTATGGAAGGCCTATTGATTACTATTTTACAAGATGGTGATAGTATTACTCTGATTGGGGCTTTTGCTGTAAAAAGATTGAAGGAAGTGACAGTATAACTTCGACAAATGAGAGGCCGTATAACTGGAACTTTAGTCAAATGGGACAAATTGTCTATGTCCCTGGAGGTTCCTCTCAGCAAATGTTTACTGTAGTCCTGTAGTAAGTTTACTGTAGTACCCTTATACAATGAGTTGTGAATGATTACGTTTTTTGCTTTCTTATACGGTATGGGCCGAAAACAGCATACAATCTTCAACAAAAACCTCTTAAACAATCAATATCAAGGTACAGATACTATGTTTCCACGAGTTACTCAAATTCAGTCACTAAGTAAACACTTAAAAATTCTCAAATTGTCCTCAAATGATCAAAATTGTTTGTTACGACTGATACAATTGTCCAGTGGTATTGTTCTTATGGGAATTCTGGATGTATAAACAGAAACATACATTAGAAATGTTAGTAATACATGGGGGTGCAATCTTAAAAAGTTAGGATGAGGGGCAGTGCTGTAGGTAGCATCTTAAAGCCACACCAAAGACCACACTCTTGACCAAACCCAATGCACTTAAACTCTCTTTTAAGATTATATGTTGTGCACATGAGATCATTAAAACAATACACCGACTCAAAAAGACTGATGCAAATATGTGCTTGGTTGTAAAGGGGGTTGAGCACCCACATTTTTACAAGCGGGCTGATCTCCCTAGCCTCCTCCACAGCAACCTTGGTAATACAGCTCGATGAAATCTAATCCATTAAAAAACGTAACATGACTACGAAATAGAAATCATAACATGACTACGCAATAAGCGCCCTTATCAACAATGGCATGATTGGGAACGCTTTCATGCAGACCCATTTATGTCCTCGTTTAAGGATCCTTCCAGCCTTATCATGAGAACAGCTAATTCCTGTAACTATCTTTTCCAGTTCTGTGACAATTTGCAGCCTCTTTTAGTAACCCACCTAATCAAAGGCCTTATTTCGAAAAGATTCTATTTGTCATCTGATAAAATCCCAGGTACATGAAGGATTAGATCCACGATTGTAGCAACAAAAGTTTTGTTAATAGCTCTTTAATCAAGAGCGTCTGCTTAAATGCTAACATCAACAGATAAGATTAGTTTGGGTTGTTCGAAGGATCAGAAACTTGAGTCACGGTCCAGACATTGATTAATGGTGGAATAAAGAACCAACTCATGTTAATGAAACATTGCAACATAATACAATAAAAACAATCCACTAAATACTGCATGAGAGAGTATTAGCCTCAGGAAAGGGGCTCGCTAAAAGTGAATAGGAAGGGGCTCATAGTAATATTTGGTATATGCCACACATAGTGAATCACCTTATGATACTCAGCGGAGAAGTATCTTGCTACTTCTATAGATAGTCACGTGGTTTTTCGCATATAACACTGTCTTTCCCTGTGCGTTCTTATGAAAACGTCATTTTCCTTTAGAAAATGAGGTAGCAGACCAATGCGTGTCAGGGGGTTTATCACCAGTACAAGTTGCAAGTTGAAAAGGAATGACTTTCACAAACAGCTTGAGTTTCAAAAAGAAGAGCTTATTTAATGAAGATACGATTTGGAATGAATCATTTATTTAAATAGGCCTCTGATAGTGTAATGCCTCAAAGTAGCACGGAAAAGCGGAAGCAGAGCATAATGAAGTGCATTTCGTCCGGCTTTCCTACAGGTATAAAACGTCGGTTAATGACAAAAAAGTAAGCGGAAATTCATATCATGACGTGGACCTAAAGTAAAGCGAGATGAAAATTGCGCAAAAGAACTTTTATAAAAATAGTGTTATGTTCACAACCGTTCTGGCTTTTAGACACAGCTACTTTATGAATTTCATTGCAAAACGTGACGCTTTTGACATTTTTGGTAGAAATCAATAGGCCCCAACGCAAATTGATGAATTTTCACTGAACCAAACATTAATGTCCTTTTTCTCCATTTTTATTGACACTTTCAAGCTGAGCCTTCGCATCCATCGCCGTCTTTGCGGAGAGTTTGCATTGAATTGAATGGAGACTAATTAAATTGAATAAGGGATTTTCTCGAAGCAGAATCCGCTGGATCATTTTGGGGGTGGCCGTACCATGTAACGTATATACTTTCGTTAAAGATATCAAAATAAAAGACAGTTATAATCTTCTTGGGTGACTTACTCGTCTAGTCAAGTGATGACTAAGCTTCACCTGAACAACACTGCGTGGGTTATAGAAAGAAGAGTATTGACAAAGGGCGTGCTGGACAAGTGATATGAGCTTTTTTAACGATCAATTTAAATAGACAAGGATATTATTACCCGTAGTATATAGAATGAGCATTATATCGAGTTGGATGAAAAAACTTTGCAGGTTCTTTAAGCGCACTCCAGGCTTCTGTCATTTCTTGCAGTAGTGTAATGATGTCATTATTTTCTGTCTTTTAAATTCGATACAAATTGTAGCACCGCTAAAGGGGAGTTTCCAGCACGCATCAGAATAAAACCAAAATCAAAGAAAAAAAGAGCAAAAAGACTGGCTTTATGTAAATGATGACGCAGTCTGCTAGGATAAATAAAAAACAAATCAGCTATAAGTAGTGTTTAGCAAAAGGGATTGAAAAAGGAAGAAAGAATATAAACGAAAAAGAACTAATAGAAAGAGGCTAATCAATCTTGGAAATTTGGTAAAATCCCTTAAATTTGTCAGAATTTTAGAATTTCTTTCGCCCTCAAAATTCAATGTCCAATGCACCATTGAATATGCGTTTAGTA